AGGCAAGGCAAGGCAAGGCAAGGCAAGGCAAGGCAAGGCAAGGCAAGGCAAGGCAATAATATATCATATACCTGTCTTGCTGAATGGAGCACGAGTTTGGGAGAGCGTCTATCCAGCACCAATAATCCCATTTCTTCAGGCCAAATCCAAGAACTGAACCTTGATTAAAACAATATCGATCATGAATAAAATTAACTCGCACATATCACCTCATCCTGATCTTTTTATGCACATTGCATCCATGAATTCTTGAAGTGTCAAACGCTAGCCAGTGGCAGAAGTCCGTAACCAATCCCGATATATCACACCCGATCTATTACTCTGTATGTCTGTCAGTTAGCTGAGTTGGTAAAATGAGGTGAAACTCGAAATAAACGAACGAACCGATGACTGAAAAGACTCATGCTTTTTAGGTTAACTAAGCAATCACAATCTTTCATTGCATCCATTTAATAATACCAAAAAAACAATATATTGTTGGTTTTTATTTTGTTATTATTCTTATTGATTCTTTGTTTGTTTTTTCATTTATTTATTATCCTTTTTCCTTTTCATTGTTTCCCCCTTTAAAGTATTTCACTCTTGTTTTCGTTCGTTCGTTCGTTCGCCGGCTCATTCCGTATCGATGTGAACTTGCGATGATATACAGTGTGTTTCAGAGCAGTTTTCGTATATCTGTGGAAACCTCAGTGCCGTATGCATGCCTTGCCGTGACCGTGATGGTCTCTAGGCTGATTTTCTTCTCGCGCAATGTAATTAGTCTGACAGTGCCGTGACCTCGGCGTGACCTTGGCGTGACCGTGTCTGCGCCGGTTTTATGCCGTGTTCCGGGCATTTGATTGGATGGAGAGTAAATTCTCGTGCAATGBGATTGGTCTGGCGTATCCCTTGCCGTGTCACGACCGTGTTYGTGCCGTGAGGTTTTCACAGTCATACGAAAAATGCTCTAAGATTTACGTTCACGGCAAAAGTGAAACCTCAGTGGTCCAGCCGGTGGTCAGGTTACACAATATTAATTGCAACACTAATTGCAAAAATCAGACAGAGTGTTCAAAAATATCTTATTTCCAATGGATTGGCTCAAGCTGGATATAGTATGCATTTTAATAAAAATGACAAAAACGTTTTTACAGTTCGAGTGCCCTCACTGTAATTCTTATATAATAAACCATACTCTCTTCTTATACGTACAGAAACCTTAGAGTTTATTTCATTATATCGTTTAGATTTTGTTAGAAAATGATAAGCTCATTTGACAGTATAGTTTTAGCTCCAATATTTTTATGCGAAAATTCCCCGATAAGGAATGACAGAGTCAGGAATAAGGAGGAAAAATCTTGCGTTTGTTGACCTCGATTATTTTTCTCCGGTCGAAAGATTTCTTAAGCTACACTTATAAGTTGTTATCTTCTTCTTTATGCAAAATGAAGTCCAGTATATTATCAACATGGATGGTTGATCAATCTCTCTCAAAAACAACCTAAATTTATTCATAAGTCGAATCCTTGTCTTTCCACTCATGAAAAACCATTCTTCTTGAACTTCTTAAGCAAATTACAAATTAAAAATATCATTTTAAAAATAAATTATTATGGCATTAGTTATTCGCATATTTGAAAAAGAAGCGAGAAAATGCGTAGTAAGTTCAAGAAAAAGGGAGAATTTGTATAATTTTTGATTTTGACAAGTAAGTCATGAATCTCGAAGCACCTGCTTCAGTGTTTTGGTATTCTGAACCTCATAAATGAATGATATTCTATGGCGTTTCTTCTGAATCCCCAAGAAAATAATATAAATTAAAATAATAATAATGATAATTCCTTCAAAGGCTTTTTCCAAAAGGCTTCGCTTGGATTCACTTCGAAGAGCATCATGTTATGGAATTCCCAAAGCAAATTTGGGTTAATTTTTGAAATAATTCTCTCAAAATACCGGTTTCCAAGGAAATGAATAAATGTATTTTCAATATGCTGTCCAAAAAAAGCTTTTTAGCTAAAATACAGCATAAGAATATTTAAAAGAATACAGCCTTGATCTTGGATGTTTACTGAGGATTTACAATGTGAGGTACTTACGTTTTAGTCCAATTCGTAGAACCCTTTCCAAGAGTCCACATATTGGGGCTAGGAGAACATTGTCATCGCGAATAGGTTGTTTTTGCGAGCTTTCGAGACGAAGAACTAGCTCTAAATAGCACAAAAATAAGCAAAGTAAACTCGGGTAGGAAAGTCTTCATTGAAGCATAGAAAAATATAGCCCAACGAAAGCCAAAACTACTGGTGTTATCACTGACCTCTAAGGTTGTTTAGTACGAGTTCACTTTTCAGATTTGCATCCGACATTTTGGAAAAATCGAAACTAAGCTTTAAATTTTCAAACACATTTTAGCGATCTTCGCGAAACTTCAAGCATTAAGTTCTATTACGAACCGCGGAGCGATTCAAAATYATTCAAGCGAATTTAGGATTTCTTTGGTGGTTTTTGTTATTATTCAAATTTGACCTGAAGATCATTGGTCTATAAACTGAATATGATAAATTAAACATAATTTTCCCGGCCTATCGTAGGAACTTTATATATAGTTTATTCATTTTTCCCGCGTCTTGAACTCTGAAAAATGGTTTACAAACACTGACATAAACTTATTAAGTTTTGTTTTTGTGAGAAGCAAGTTTTTTGTTTTGTTTTGTAATTCATTTTAATTGACTGTTTTTACTTCATTATCTGAAGGGCACCAAAACTTTATGCGTGACCGAAAGGCGATAAACAACTCTTTTCAGTCTTTATTCTTAGAGGAGATTAAATTTTCTCTAGAAGATATGATAATTTTAATCTTTTGTTTATGAGGAAAACTATTCCTTGAAGACCATTCCAAGGTTCATTCTTTCCAAAAGTTTATTAAAGATGGGTAATTTAAGCGTGGTTCGCGCAGAAGTTTCTCCGTGTTTGTGCGGTTAATAATGATCGCGAATTGCACTGCGGGCAGCCACCAGGGCCACAACTTCACCAATCAAATACCTTTAGAGAACTATTTTTAATTAAACTTCCCTAATATTTTTATTTTCTTTAAAATTGAAGGTTGCCGAAATTCCCTAAATTGACCATCAGCACAGGCTCACTGTAACGAAAAGCCTGCATTTTGAGCAGCTCGTTCGGCAAAGAAACCATCATTGCAAAACACGGACGCAATCACGCTTCACGCCTAAGCCACGAACAACAATGTTCAATTTTTCCAAAGCGATGCTGCTTTTAGTATGAAGACTAACTAGATCCTTAGCTTCTTGATTCAAAATTATAAAACAACAATAGAGTTTGGTCATGTTTTTATATCCAAAACATGAAAAACCAAAACTCGCCTGTTTCCTCATATATTTTCGGCACAGGATTGGTTTAGTCCCAAACTCCACTTGTCATTACCTAGAGTATTATTTCTTTGTTTAACAGTTGCACATAGGAAGACACATGAATATGGATACAACTCAAACAAATAATCTTATTCTCAAGATAATAACACGTGGTCATACATTATGCGCAAGGTAGAGAGATCTAGTACTGTTCTTCTCGAAARCAAACAAAGAAAACATGCTCGAGACAGGGGCGGCGAAAGCTGAAAATCTTTGGGGGGGAGGGGGGGCACTGCAAAAAATCACAACAATAACTTAATAACAGTAATAAAAATCGAATCTATGCATTTATATATCATGTGAACCAATATTTTGTGTGTGTGACCCCCCCCCCCCCCCCCAAAATTAAAAAAAAAAAAAAAAATCGGCCCCGGCTTCCCCCGGTTCCGCCGCCCCTGCAAGAAAATAGTTTGAAATGGGGGAACTTTTCACGGACGACGAATAAAGTCTGGTACGTTAATGGCATAGCCGAGCAAGAGACCACGAAGGACGGAAGCAGATGGGGTTTTCCTAAGGAGTACGCATGATCTAAAAATAAATTTTCGTGAATCCCAATAATAGCGCGAGCCGGAGTCCCTCGATCTCTGTCCTTCATGGTTTCTTGGCTAGTTACTGGCTAGTTACCAAAACGTTCTATTGATTTAGTGAATGCATGTGGCTGCGTACGTAAAAAAGCTTCTCTGTAATAAATCTTTAACTTGCGGACGTTCACATCCCATTTTGGATCACGCGATATGCATGCGTAAGGGATTCTTTGAGTTGCATATCCATATTCGTGTGTCTTCACAATCGTTAAAAGAGAAATTTTACTCCGACGAAGGACTAGCGTCCGAAACGTCAGTAAGTTTTTTCATCTTTTCACGGTGTATATTTTACCTTTTCATCATTACTGTTCCAATAGTATTTATGTTTTTCGAGTGCTCCCTTCAATCTTTTAAAAAATCCTCCCAATACTCCTTTTGACCTTTCAAGGTCCCCCATGTTCCACTACTGTGGGGTGGGGTGGGGATAATGGCAATAAGTACGACAAACTTTGTGTAACTTTTATTGAATTATTTTTAATAATATTAACTAAAGCCATTGGCAACACATTAAATATCTTAACTTTTACTTGTATTCCTTAATATCTACAAGTTGGATTCCTAAAAATGTATCTAAAAAGCCAACATCTTTTTTTCTTCAAATTTTCCTTAAAATTGCTATAAAAATACTATTAAGGTCGTTTAACAAATATTTCAAACCAGCTGAATTTATTTACATGGAAACCATAAAGTTATTTTTGAGCACTATGGAATATAACTTTGTTTCAGTTTATATCAGTAAGGCTTATGGATTTAGGTTCACACTAAACAGCTCTATTTTGTACTACCGTTTTCTAGATTTATTATTGACCAAKTTGACTTCTCCTTAGCCTCTCTCTTATCTCATTGCAATAGGAAGCCCACAAAATGCAACACACATCAGGAAATTAAACCCAAAAATGACCAAAGATCTGACTACCTAGTTGGTATGTAATACCAGTCAAATTTGAATTGTATGTTTTACATACCACTCTGGGGTTGAGAGTTCTTGCTTATTTATGTCAAACAAAAAATATTCAAAAAATAAATTAAAAAATGGCTCATGCATTTAAAAGCAAGTTGCAAAATTTATCATGAAATTTGTTCTATTTTGCACTGGGAAAACTCGAACTATGAGCACTTCACGTTATTTTTACATAATTTATTTTCTGAACTTTTTGCTGTTTCAAAATGTGTAGTTCGAGAAATTATCTATACCCCTGGATGGAGGATATTTTTAAAGGCCCCATCCGTCCCTGGAAATTCCAATTTTCTTTCATACAAACTCACTGT